ATCCCTTATTGTTATATTTACTGGTATTGGTAAGGACTTCATTTTGTGTGCGTTCCCGATTAAAAGAGCCTGTGCTCGATTGGCTGCTAATCGTTTGGCTACTGACAGGAGAAGAAGGAATGACAATGACTTCATTGACATCCTCTGAAGTGAGATCGATGGGTTGGTTAATGTTACTGGCAGCTAGAGGTGTTGTAGGTTTAGTTTTTTTGACAGCGTTATTTCGCTCGATAATAGAGGCCAAAGAAGCTTTTTCTGCTGCAGGATTAATTATTTTCTTAAAGTAGCTATGCAATGTATTTTCTTTCTTTTGTTTCATTTTTATGGTTTTGAAGGTAAATAAAATCTTTTTTTTTTATTTGACGCATTTTTTGTTATTACGCGGGCGGAACGTGTTCTTCAAAGTCCGCACCCAATAAAGCCCTAGCCAATTCCTCTGCAGAAGCATCAGCGGCAATGACAGATTGATGCGCTTCCAAAGGTCGATGATTGGTAATGGAACCAGTATCCACCAAGAAGTTATCATTTCTACGTGGAGCAGTAGTCACACCTGCAGCAGCCGAAGTGATGCGATAAGTATTACTTGTCGTACCTCGATAAGTAGTGACTTCATCTTCCGACTCGTCATCTGTTTCGTATTCAATCTTATCTTCTTCTTCTTCATCACTTTCATCAGACACACAAAAGGCCTCACCTCGCTTTTCTTTTAATCGGTCCTCTGCTAGAGATAGGACTTCCTCATTAAACGGTTGGGATAGAGCCGGATCATCCAAGTTCTTATGGTGCGTATTGCGTTTGGCAATATCACAAATGTACTCATAAATACACCAAGGGAAACTCAAGAACCCACCTTCTACCGAGGAGTCGCGCCTGCGTTCATCCGGATGATATGTCACATAATACCACGCTGCTGCCTTAGCATCAATGAAATGACGCTGTGACATATCCACCTTCTTTTCCGAATCATAAAATTCCTTGATAAACTTGTTTCTCCATACCTTCTTGAAGGCCTTCACAGCATCTAATGTGAAAGCATGTTGTTCGAAATCCGTCTTGCTCTTACCCTTCTTGATCCATTTGATAATATACCCTGAACAAATCTCAGCTTCTGTTCCAACACCATTTTTATTCATGATCGAATTCAAATCTCGATTATAAGAATAACGTAAACGGCGTGCCTCCTTGATGTATAATTCCATATCTGGGACGCGCATACGCGTATCGTAATGTGCTTCTTGCGTCAGATGAGCCTGGAAGTCCTTGTAATTTGACTTATCAATGGCTCGAAAGATTTTGCCCAACACTTTTTTCGATTCGTATGATTCTTTATCCTTCTTTTGCATAAAATCTGGAAAGGTTTTCACAATCAAGTCTTCTGTTAGCTTAGCAGGCATACCGGATTTAGGAAAATCAACAGCTTCCGAATGGAGTTGGGCCAACAAAATACATTTTCCATCACGGGCTCCATTAGCACTTAAATCTGCCGTAGCTAAATGTGCATTGGCAATCTGACCAAGGTTATCATAGGTAATGTAATTCACAAAGAAACTTGTGATATCGTGAATTTTGACATCCTGCACAGTCTTTGAAGGTGGGGCTGTATAATCCATTGGCGGGAAATTCTTTTTTGGTGGAAGTAATTTTGGATCCCAATACACTGTATAATCATCACCATCCAAATCACCACCAGAACACATACTGGGTATATCACGAAATCCTTTGGAGGAGAACACCACCACGTCTAGTAAATGATGTAAACTAGGTCTATCCACTGCCTTCACTACACGTACATCACCAGGATGAAAACATGGATTTCTGAAAACAACAACTTCACCTGTAATAATCTCTTTATGAATGTTTGTTCCATTATTATCATAAATCTGAATAAAGACTTCTCCTTCTTCCAGCGTGTCTGTCTCATCCATAACACCAAGTAAATAAGCACCATTAGGCACGATAATCTTGGCCTTCTTTTTTAAATCCTTGAGAATACTAATCCGAAACAAATTCAGAAGGTTGGTAATGTACGGATCTCTACGTTCCATAAACCCTGCTTGGATAATCGGCACCATCGAATGCACAGTACCTGCATTATCTACATTCCCCAGCAATACACGAACAGCTTCTTCAGGTCGTTGAAAGATACGATCGATATCCAACAACATATCATCCATGAACCCCATAAATACCTCATCTTTCACGCCCAGCGCCGAAAGCAAAGTAATGATCTGTCTGTTTAAAAATCCATGAATATACGTCGAGGTTCGAATCACCTCCAAAGTCAAATGCTTTGACTGGAATTTGATCTGACTGGGTCGTAACTGGACTTTCACCGGTCCCTCGTTCAGTGATTTATCCACCGTCAATACGCCTTTGGCTCCACCCAGACGAAATTGAAAAGCACTGGGCACTGTACGTAGTTCCATTTGCAAGGCTACTTCTTCTGCCAATGCCGGTGAAATCTTACCCACACCATCCGAGAAGGTAAATCCATTATGTACAACATCGGGTATCTGCGCAACTTCATCCTCTTGTAGAATACGCACAGGTCGCGTGGAAGAGAAACATTGGCCCATACGCACAGCGTGTTTTGCCACGACCTTTTCATGTGAGAATACACCCATCCATGATCGAATCATATCGGTGGTTAAATCCGGTGTGGGTGCAAAGAACCAACATCCTTGTTCACGTAACTGAGAACTTGAAAAGGCCAGAAATTTAAATCGCGTGGTTCCAATGACAATGCCCTTTTTCAATACCTCAAAGATATGATCGTAAATCACTTCCTTAATCAATCGATCTTGAGCCGCACCCACACGAGATAGATTTTCATCCATAAATTGTACACGCATAAATCGATCTGCATGTTGTTTATAATGTCGGACGACACGGTTGGTTGTCTCAAGTGAAGGTGGTTGAATATACATGTGTGTGGGCGTCACAATCACTTTTCGTAACAATGCACAATGACTAGGTATATTCTTTTGTGCCGTTAATTTAATTCCGAAATCATCCCATGTACGCTGGAAAAACGCATACGGGTTATAAACGCGTCGCTTCATTAACATAATCAGATCGAAACATCCCCGACTGATATTTTCATCCAGTTTTGATAACAGAACCAGAAACTCGGGTGAGATATTATATGGACTACAGTGACGATAAGAAATGATACATTCCAGCATGTAGAGTACGTCGAAGGGAATTCCATACGAGGAACGATCCACGTGCGTGAGTGGTTTAGGTAAATCTTTAGCGTGTGTGACCTTGATGACAGGAGGTAGATTCGTAAGATCGCGAGGCACCAGATCGAAATCCGCTGCTTCTTTCAACTTTTTTTCGAATTCGACGGCATAACGTGTAGGCTGAAAGACTAAGCGTAAGACCACCCAGTTACCAATATCAAGGACATCTTTACGTGGGTCAGGAGTCAATGGCTTGGGCTTTGTAGCCAGTTGTACATCTTTGGTGAGTGGAATTAAAGTGACCCGTTCCCAACGTGGTGTGACTTGAAATGAAGTACTCGTTACTCGGTCCGATTGATAATTACGTTTCCAAAACATGGCAGGATATCGTAATGGAATTGTCAAGATTGTCTTATTTTCTGGACGTTCTACCGTCATATCTCCCAAGACATCTTTAAATTTGTAGTTGAGACGGTAATCAGATCCAAGATGAGAAAAAAAGATTTCCACTTCACGCCGTGCATATTTTAGACAATATTTTACATCCACAGTGGTAGACCATTCTTCTACATAGTGTTTGGGGGCAATAAAAGAACCCATAGATAATGACACTGCATGAAGTTTGGCATCGATACGGTTGGAAGAATTACCATGCTCGTAAGGTTGTTCTTTCGTAAATTCCACAGTAACAAGTCGACCATCAATACGATGTTTCCCCACTAATTGTGGGTTTCTAGGCACCTGCCTACAATTAAATTTATCAGTTTAGCTCTCTTTTTTATCACTCTATCTTCTCTTCTTACTTGAATGTCACAGTCGCAGAACCCGTCAAGGTCTCATTATCGTCCACTGTTAAAAACACTTTATCCACAACTTCGAACCGGTCGAAATAGTCTTTTAAGGTAGGTGGTATGGTACCTGGATTCAAGTTTTGAACAAGTATACATTTCGAATAATCTACACGGTCATTCCGTCCATTACCACCACCGCCGCCACCACCACGTCGTTGCTGATGATGTTCGGCTCCACGCCGATTATCATTTCGGTGATTATTATTGTTGCTGCTGCGAAAATGACCTGTTGTTCTTTTTTCGTTACTATATATAAAGCGTGTGCAACAATTAATTACGTTAGCTTACCAGAACTCATGGAGAAAAGACAGTTTTATAGACTTTATTTTTTTTTTTTTTGAGAGAGAGAAAGAAGAGACAAAGAAAACTAAAAGTTCTGCTTTAGTTTTTATTGGGTGTGAATAGCGGAATCCCAATGCAAGTAATCTGATTCGATGCCTTGTAAAAATTGGTGGTTTTGATCAGTGACAGAGGAAGATTGACAGGGTGTAACCAAATCCACGGCTGGTATCATAGGTAGAGGAGGTTGGTACACGGGCATGGTATAATGAAATCTATTTTTCCGCGTCAGTCACTGTATTTCTCTCTCATTGTAAAAAAAAAAAAAACTTACGCTGGGCCAGCGACTGCAGAGGCGCCCTGAGGCGGCACACCGCCTGTATTCAATTGTGTCCTGCCAAACGATAACCTCAATTTAGCCCCTCCCAGATGCGATCCATTCAACTCTGCAATTGCCTGTTCCGCCGATGATCTCTGTTCGTACTGAATAAACGCAATATTCTTGTTCGGAATTATCTTGACGGCCAAAATATCCCCATATACACCAAAATAAGCACGTAACTCCTCTTCTGTAATCGTACTATTCAATCCACCCACAAATACCGTCGTAATTTCAGACTCGGGTGTATGAGGACTTAAGCCCACATCAAACTTTGCACGGGGTCTGGCTACTGACACACGTAAAGGCCGCGATCCCACATACACGCCTTGCATCTCTTCCAACGAACGTTGCTGATCATTCTCGTCAAAGAACCGAATAAATCCAAACCCACGAGAGTAACCCGTAATCGGATCGATCATGACTTTAGCTGACCGAATGGAACCGTACCTACTTTGAAAGGCGGCCATCAAGACATGATCATCTACATCTGCACCTAAATCACCAACAAAGATGCTATAATCCCCATTGGTGTTTGAATTATTCTGCTGCATTGGCCTAATGTAATTATCAACGAGTGAGTTTTTTTTTTTCCTATCGCTTATAACCTATTACTGCTCCTTTTTTTTCTATTTACGTGTTGACAAAGGGGACTCCGTTACCATCTCGATTGGACCAATTTAATTTAAAGCACTTGTTGGTTTGTGGAATGGAAGTACCATTATACGTGGTGAGAGCCTTGGTTGCTTCTTCATGGTTGGGGAAATCAACAAATGCATACGATCCACCATACTTGTCGACACTGATACGACAAGAAACTTCGTATCCCATCGACCACCATAATTGTCGCAGGTAATTCTCATCCATCCAAGCGTCTAGTTCACCCATCCATAACGTTCGTCCAGGTACGATGGCTGCGGGTGATGAATCGTACGTAATCCCAACAGGGCCCTGATTATATGCATAAGCCATCTTTTTCTCTGTAACAACGAAAGAAAAAGTTTGTGAATTAAAATACAGTGCGACTCGTAAAATTTGTTCGCTTTTTAAAAAAAAAAATATGGCGCTAGTTGGCAACTAGTTGAAACTTTATTCTGTTTTTTTTAAAAAACAAAGTGAAATTGGTGTTAACGAGAACTATTATCCGCTATAATGTAAAGGCAAAAACTTTTTTTTATAAAGGTGGATATGAAAATGTCTACTATAAATTCAGACAAATATAGATAAACACAAAAATTGATTCAGATCAATTAAAAAAAAAAGTTCAGACTTTAAGCTTTTTTTTTTTTCAAACGGGTAATACATGCATTAAATAACTAAAGTGATAACTTTAGTGGAAAGTTATTGTCTTTCTGCTTTTTCTCGACTAAACAAAGGGGGTTTCCCTCAAATGGATCAGTATTTTTTCAAAGTTTAAAGCTGCAACCAAATCTCGATTCCATATTCTTCTTGCTACAATACCAGATGTACTCTCCATTTTTCTTTAGAAAGCAATGTTCTTACAGCTTATGGATGATTAGATAATTTCTTATCAATGTAGATTTTTAAATCAATATTGCATACCGAAGTAATCCATGACATGTTATGGTCGGCATTTTTTGTCTTTGATATAGTCTTGGATTCACTATGGTTTTGCAATTTTTCCAAAGGAATTTCGTATTCAAGACAAAAAGAAGACGTCTTGTATGCGTCAATTAAATATAATTTAGGTCCGTTCTTCTTTAACATAGCAATTAACCCTTTATTCCTAGTTGGCTCTTGATACTTGACGTTGGGTGCTGACCAATTTCCAAGTACCAGCATCGAGTTGGATCCAAACTTATTTTTCAGCTTTCTAACTAATTGAGCATCATTTTTATCAAAGTGAAATTTGCTAGAAAACTTTAGTTTACGAAATGGAAAAATTTGTAGTTTTTTTAAAAGTTAGCTTTCACGATTCCACAATAAATCCACTTGACCTGTTTCTAACATAATTTTAAGTATTCTTGCTTTTTCTGTATTATTGAAACGTCTTTTTCACATGAGATTGTTGAATTACAATATCCAAATAAGTAGCATACATTTGAAATTAGGAAAAGCGTCAGGAGAAACTTGGGGTTGAGGATAGTAGCCTCGAATTCTTGTCACATACAAATTCCCAAAATGCAATTCACCTTTGTTGCTCACATTGAATTCAAAGCAAGAATTAGGAAAATATACTTCTATTGTATTGCAATTAACAATAACGCATACTTGTTCTTTTTCTAGTTGGTATGATGGGCTGGAAATCATCATCAATTGAGTTATTTAAGTAGGATTTTTTTTTACATTTTAGCAAATCTTTAGGCACCTGTGAAGTTGATCCTATCAATCCACAAATTATGTTGTCAGTACCATTAAACTGTCTTGTAGTATTATGGTATACCTTCATTATCGTTTATTACAATGTTTTTCCCATTTCCTTTCATTTGTTTAAAGAAAAAGAAAAAGTGATCAAATCTTCAATCTGCAATTCTCCTTCTAAATTGGGAATGGTTCAATTACGCACAAGTATATAGAGATATAGTACCATTTATTTAATTTAAGGTAAGCATCATTCATTTTTCAGAAATTACCACTTATTTTTTCAAAACACAGAATTAACCAGCTGCACTGTATTGAAGGAAGACACTGGGCAGCCTCTCTATAATTTAGTTCATGCAAGTATCATTTTTGCTAATGCATTTTCCTGGCCTGTGTCCATCAAGATTGGTATCCTACCGTAACAATTTTTAAATAGGTGTGATATCATGGAGTGTCAGCTTATAAAAAGTTGTAATAAGCCTAGTAGGTGAATATACTCTTTTTTTTTTTTTTTTATCTTTTCGACGTATCATTGGTGATTGAATAAATTATATAGGCTCACTAAGCGTACATGTGCACAGGGCAATGCATCACTTTTTTTTTTTTAAAAAAAAAACTTAATATTACGGACCATTAAAAGAAAACTGCGCGCTGTTCCCTCCCCCCCCCTTTTTTTTAACAGCCGAGTACGTGTTAAGTTCAACACCGGACAATTGACACAGCTTAAGACAGGCAGAAAAGGCAGTGCATAATCTAGATTAGGAAATGGCAGGGAACATTTACTATAATAAAACCGCGCCAAGTACCAGAGTAATACGCGGATTCAAGGAATATGTTGAGCTACAGCCATATGCACTTTTAGAGTTAAAGAACATTTAAGAACGTTTGATCACTGGTAACGATTGTATTCTTTTTGACTACTTTACTAGTACTAGGTGATTAAACATCTGATTATACTCGAAAGTCTATTTGTAATATATCGATGAGGCCTGTCAGATATAATTAGATGCTTTTAAAATTCATCCCATCCCATCTCACAACACAAATATTCAATAAATCCCTTCTATTATGCTCATTTGGTTATTAGCTCTGTTTGTCATCTAGAGTATCACTTCAGGGTTTAATGCAGGATTCAAAATGAGTGCCACATTTCTTTATTATTGCGGCAATGTGAGTGGAATAAGTAATAGAACATGCTTGATTACCTGGTATCTGAATAGCAAATGTCCTTTTCATTTGAAACAGCACTTGAGTGCATCGTTTATCAATAATCGTGCATAAAATATTTTTTCCGATGCAAATGTACTTTTTCCCCACATTGTTTATGGATAAATGTGATTTAGTTATGCGGTGGTATACGTAAAATAAAAAAAAAAAGTTTTGATGATGAGCACGTTTCTGCACAATGCTAAACGAATAAACAAATTAAAAAAGCGCTGTTTTTGGGTTAAGCCTTTTGATTGTCTCTTTTTACATGGAATGTGATCGATGTGCATCGCACCAAAAAACTAAGTTTAATAGTAGTGGCGGTGGGAAGACAAACGATTGTAGTTTAATTGGTCGGGGGTCTCCATGGTGATGGGTGGGTGGGGGGTGTTACCCTAAAAATAAAAAAAAAATGAAAAAGTCTAGAAAGTGCTTAAAATGAAATGTGGCCAATGGAAGGTATTTGTTTGATAAAATTACCATAAAAGGAAGAACCCGATAGAAAAAGTACTCGCCACACTTTACCATTTTAGATGAAAGGTCCTATTGGTTCCCCAATTATCGATTCTTTTCTAACCTGTCACATGAAGAAGGAATCCTGAAAATCGTACCATATTTTTTATTGGCTTGTTTTATTTTTTTGCATGAAAATATAATTCACATCGATCTTTAAATTAATCTCGATAACATCTCTCTCTCTCTCAACCCCAAAGCTATAAAAACCCTCCTTTTTTAGTAAAATTTTGGAATTTATAATTTTTTTGCAACTCACCCATTAAATGTTGTCAATAGATAAATGTTTAATGTTAAAAAAAAAAAGTGTTCACATTCGATCGATCGATGCTTTTTTATTGAAGAAAGAAGTATCTCTTTATACACAATGTAATCTTTTTGTCAAAGAAGATTGTTTTAATAGCATTGCCTGTTTTTTAAATCGATCGTGAAAAAAAAAACATGGGGAAAAAAAAAAGTATGCGGCAAATGGAATCCGGGAATCTTTTTGTGTGTGTGCTTTAGTGTTTCCGGGATGAGAAAAATAATAATAAAACCAATAAACAGGTACCTTTTTTCCCCTTGCGCACTGAGGAGTGACAAACGTGGCGGTGAACCTTAAATCCATTTGCATACAGCTCGTAGATCTCTTTATCTTTCTTTTTTTTTTTTTTTCATAATGTATCAAATGCGGAATTTTAAAATCAAATGACCTGGACCTTTCTTTTTCATGCTATAAATATATAAACACCTAATTTCTTTTTTAATTTCTTCTTTTATTCCTCCTCCCCCCAACTCCCCCACCCTTCTTTTCTCTCTCTTATGACTCAACGCAAGAAAAAGACGATTGAATATCACTTTGTTGATATGAATGACCCTGATCGCTATAAAAAGCTTAAAGTAGGACGAGCCTGTGATTTCTGTAGACGACGTAAATCCAAGTAAACAAATGAAAGCTAAAATATTAATTCATATCTCCATAAATTAACACAACTTAAATAGGTGTGACATTGGTGTGCCAGGTTCAGGTACATGCTCCAATTGTAAAAAGTCCAACCAAACATGCATCTTTTCGGCCGTACAACAACCACAGGTCCAACAACAACAACAACAACAACAACAAGCCACAAATACATTTACAAATGGCTACCGAGATAAATTCCCATTCCTTTCGATGGACTCAAAAGCACATTGTAGTTATGAAAGAGACAACATTTATGCGCATACTACCTTGACTAATTATGGAGAAGAGCCAGTTTATTCTAAACAGTCCGAACACGAATTATTTGACGTTTACTTTGGTCATTTTCACCCTTTCTTTCCTCTTTTGGATAAGCACCAGATTTTACAGTCCCTTCGCTTTGATAATATGCCTTTATCACTCTCATTGGCTATCATGGCCATTGCTTCCTGTCATTTTACTCATACTGATACCAATGCTGCATTTTATTATACAAAAGCCATTGATACACTAGATCGTTCTCCTTGTCTTTCCAGCGTACAGACCTTATTCTTGTTGTACAAGTACGGTGAGATGGTCACACCAGTCGGCACTCCCATTTCCTCAATCACCATTGGTTATTTAAAAGAAGCTCAATCAATTCTAGCTCAACTGCCAACCCAACTCCCCAATCAAAACAACAGCGATAGTGCCCGACAGGATGAATTCCGCTCACGTGCTCAGTGGCTCATTTACATCACTTTATCATTTGGCAACATTTCAGATCAACGTTGGAGAGAGGCTCTGGATTACTGCATTATACCCACCAAAAAACCTGAATTAACAGATATTGAACACTATGATAAAAATGAGCTCCATATCACTTGTAACCTTATTCATCTAGCCAATCTGGCTCTCATCTTTTCTCCTACTGTTTGCTTTATGGCCGATCAAAACACCTTATTTGCAAGTAACATGAATAACTTCTTACCCGAATTCTTGAATTATGCTACACAGTTAGAACGATGGAAAGCAGCCTTACCTCCTCCCATTTCACATAGTTTATATACCAATCATCTATACACCTTGCAAGATGGTACGAAATCACCTTCCTTTACAACTTATCTCTGTCTGATACACGATATTCTTTCTTTATTGGTCACCATTCATCAACCAGATGGACACGCCCATTTATCTCGATTAGCTTTGGCTGTATGTTACAGAGCACATTGCCTTACAGTAGGCGACTTGGCTCCATCCACTTTCTCGCGTGTGGCGTCTATTCAAGGTAGTCGACTTGTTACATTTGGTCTTACCTTGGCTTTACAGACACAATCCTATTGTGAAGAAAATAATCTCTCTTTAGAAGCACACAAAAACTACGAAGTCTGTTGCGATCTCACCTTTCAAATCTTTGATCAGATCTCTCTTTCACCTCAACTCTACATGACGATCAATGCATTACGTGCACAAAGAGAGTCAGAAGCTGCTGTAGCTGCCGCTACCTTATTGACATCCAAACGAATAGAGCAAAGAAGCAGTGGCAGAGAAGAGCGACCGAATTATAGCACACAATCAAGTTATAGTAGTCATGAAAGTCATTATACATCCACCACTGATTATAGTTATTACACTCCCATCCCTCAACCATCACATACAAGCACTCGAAACACACAAACAACATCCATGACGGGAGATTGGCAAACGTATAGTCATTATACCACATCAAGCTATGATTCTCTAATAGAAACACAATATGAAATGATGCAAGATACAACAATGCCAACGACACCTACATTTCAACATACAGAACCTACTGTGATCATTGATTCATATTATAGTCTTCCTATAGGTAATAGCAGAAGGATGACAGGTCCCGTCGTAGCTTCCTCCTATTTTTATCATCACGAATCATTAGAAGTTCTATATGATGCCAAAAGTTGTAGAGCTAAAGACATGATTTAAAAAAAAAACTTAGAAAAAAAAAAAATAGCACATACCCTTTCTTCTATGCAACTCAATCGTTTCTCTCTCTCCCATTCTCTTTCCTTCTTCACATACATACAGTCATTCACTACTCCCCTTTGTATATTATTTTTTCTTTTTTTCATCACGCACATCCATGAGTATGCCTTAACTACGAATAAAACAGATGATTATGACTTCCCTTTTTTTTTTTTTTTTTTCTTGCTTTAAAATAATTCCTGACTGATCATAAAAAACTTGCCTCTCTTTTACTTTTTATATTCTATAATCATGAAGCGAGTTATATCGGACGATGAAGAGACCACTTTTATTGTAAAAAAAATGAGGGGTTCTTCCATTGAGGAGCAACATATGGGTAAAATAGCTTTTTTTTTCATTTTTGGAAGGAATCATTAATGCGAAAAACACGCACAGACAATAGCTCATCAGAAGAGAACAATATCGCAGGTAAAAAAAAAAAAAAAAAAAAAAGCGCAAATATAGAAATCATATAATAATTAACATCACAAGTTTATAACCAGTAGGAGTGTACATGTTGGTAGATGAGGGTAGCATTAGCCCTAGGTGTCGTCAAAAGTGCACCATCACTCGCAGATCTGACAGTAACAGCTGTACAGACGACGAAGAAGGGGCATCGGATCATGAAGATGTTCTAGAAGAAACTTCTGATGAAGAGGTATCGGACCATGAAGATGTTCCAGAAGAAACTTCTGATGAAGAGGTATCGGACCATGAAGATGTTCCAGAAGAAACTTCTGATGAAGACAGTTTGTCTGAAGAAAACAAAAGCCTTCAAGAAACAAGTGTGAGTTCGGAAGAAGAACAATATGACAGCTCTGACAACAGTCAACAAATCGATGAAAGAGATTCGTCATCCTCTTCTTCAGACAGCGCGTACGATATGGATTGTATCCTCAATATCCTCACTGCAATGGAAAACATGCAATGAAGGTCTGATAAAAAAAAACTGTTTTTAATAAAGCAACTTGTAAAAAAAAAAAAAAAAAAAAAAAAAAAAATGAGAAAGGATATATTATTTCTTTTGACGTTCAATGTCTTTAAGAGTCCAAAGAGAAACACCCGTTTGATTGGATTCATACGGTTGTGCCATGGAACGAAGAAACTTTTTGGCAATCACAAGTGACATATCCGTCGACAAGTTAGTGGAAGCGTCCGTTACATATTGATTAATCCATTTAGGTAACTTAGCCCGTTTATCAGCTCGAGCAAATCTCTGTGTGCAAACCAAAAAAGTTAAATCATAAAAAAAAAAACTTTAGAAAATGTTTGTTTATATACCTTGTCTGCAAACACCATGAGACCATAATCTGTTTTACCACGCAAAACTCTTCCTACACATTGTGCTGCATGACGCATAGCATCAAAAGTCAAGAAATCGTTTTCTCGAATGTGTAAATGGTCTCTCAAATACTCAAGACGTGCCTTCAATATACGTGATTCGGTATACTGATAGGGTATACCAAACATAATCACTGCCCGACCATAATTATGGTCAAAATCAATACCCTCAGACACTTTTCCTCGAGCTACCGAAAGTAAAATCGCACCTCGTCCATTATCACACGCCTTTCGATAATTCGCCAATGCTAAACTAGTTTCGGCCGCATCCGGTGTCTCCACAAAGATAAGCTTATACTTCCACGCTTCGTTTAAAATACCCATATCGTTCCACATAGACACAATGGACTCCATGTACAAATAACTAGGGAAAAAACATACCATACCATCAGGCACAATCTTTGCAAACTCCACCATGATTTGTCCAAAATTACGTACAACAGCAGGATCATTACGTACTTCAAATTTAGAACTGATCGCAACTTGATCGGATCCACGCGTGATCACCATGGGCAAGAAACAGTTACGTGATAACGTCATGGCATAACTCTCCTGTACCACTGCTTGAAAGTTCAGCATCTTGGGATACATATCCAGCGGTGATAATGTACCCGATGTAATCACGACCGTACTAAATCGATCAAACACAGGTTTAATCGCAATCGATGCATCCAAACAACTACCGGTAAATTAAAATTAAGTATGTGCAGAAAGAAAGGTATGTATAGCTTACGTAAAGTGCAAGACGGGATTAGGAATGGTAGCAGTTTCTGTTTCGAAAGGTTCCAAAATCAATAAAAAACCTTTATCATAGGTCGATGTAAGTGTAGCAAACGAAGCGACCTTTTGCAAACTGGAGAACTCGGCTAAATCTGTTAATTCTAAAGTACGGACAAGACTGGCAAGACGTTCTGCACAAAAACGTAATGGTTTTCTTTCAATATAGGTGACATCTTTTAAATGCTGTAAAAAGGAAGCGGGGGTTTCTGCAATCACATGCATCACACGCAGACGTGTCTATGTTTTTCTTTCTAGTAACATATAAAGAAAAAGAGTAACAAGAGATATTTTACCTTTAAATATTCAATAAATCTTCGAAGGAACGCCACGAAATGCTCTGCTCTACGAATATTACCCGGTACAGCTTCTTTTAATAAATCATCAGGTAAGATGGGGTTTGCCATAAATGTGTCTTCATCTCTTGCTGTATTAGCGTCTCGTAATCCTTCCACCAATTTTGTATATTCGTTTTTTAATCGTTGTGAATCCGTCCTTTTGATCCTATGTATATTCATTTTAACAACTGTCCCTCTCTCTCTGTATTTTTTTTTTCAATCTTTCTTACTCGTCAATTTTCTCTGCTAATACGCCTACACTTCTTGCACTGGCATCTAACATGGGTCGGGTAAGATCGATACTAAGAGCTTCAATACAGACATTATCGATATTATGCGCTTCATCAAATACAACAATACAGTCGCGTGATAATTCTTTTGATACGAGTTCAGCTACTTTTGGATCCAGCATGTAATGATATGAATAAATCACTACATTGGCAAACGGGAGCTTATCATAATTTATCAATTCATGCAGATTTTTTTCTTTTATATATAAATACAACTTACTGCTCGTCGCACAAGATAATATGGACAGTATGACATTTTTCTACCGTATTCTTTCAAATCATCTAAAGTATATACGCCATTGGGAATAGGGTTTGGGGAATTCGCTGCTGCGAGTGTCTAAGATAAACATCAGTGACCGCATGGTTTATAAGACGCATTGATATACGTACTTCATAGAAATTACAAAGCTCTACAGGTTGTTGATCCACTTCCATGGCATCGGGATCCGTGTTCTTCAATTTGCCAGCCTTAGCACGAACCCAACTTGCTGTCAAATTTCGGCATTTGGAATCCACCACTTTACCCTTCTTTTCTTTGGCTACGGTAGGATTCAAACACAAGTTTTTACGCGATGTCAGTCCAACACCGAAAAAATCTTCTTCGATACCTTGCTCCTTTCGGTACGCCATCAAATGTTTTAATTCGGCTAATGCTTTGTCAATTTCAGGTACTGTACGTGAACAATAAATAAACTTTCGATGTTGTTCTGGATATTGCTGCGCACGTCATGTTATAAAAGAAAATTGCGTTTAATATCTCTTCTTCTTTTTTTAACAGTGTTAGTTAGGTAGTTTTTGTGATTTATACCATTTGGTAAGCGACAATCAAGGAGAGTAAAGAAACAGTTTTACCAGTACCAGAAGGCATTTCTAATACACAATGACCCTAAAACAAATAAGTTTCTTTTTTTAAAAAGGAAAAGAGTCATGTCTTACTTGGGCATCAAGCGACTTCTTCAAGTCACACATGTACTGGTGCTGTTCCGGATATATCTTGTCATAAGGAAAGTGGACAACGAGATCGTCAATGTTGAAACTAATTCATAAAAGGTGTATTTTTTTTGTTTTGTTTTAATGAGTACAAGGTGCGTGATAAAAGATAGGGTGTGTTGTCAAACACGGGAATATTTATTAAGGTCATCTTTACATCATTTTTTTTTCTTTTTAGTCACAATCGTTTACAGTTAAGAAAATAAAAAAAATAAAAAAGAGAAAGCAAACAGTTCTTTTATACAGTAGAAAAAATCTAAATATCGTGACTTCAATAAGTTTTTTAAAAATATTTCAAAAGCAGTTTTTTTTTTTTCTTTCTTTCTTTTTAAAACTAATCGTATACAACCATGGCACAACCTCCACCTCCTCCATTCATGGGTAATCCTCCACCCTTTCCTCCAGGATTTATGCCTCCTGCCACAGGAGCACCTCCCTTTGCTGTCAATGCACCTCCACCTACGCAACCCACCATGGTCAACGGTATTCCTGTCGCGAAACAAGCTCTCAACACAACACCAAGCAGAACAGTCTATGTCAGTAACCTCAACGAAAAAGTCAAGCTCGACGGTAATTTCAGCACCTTTACAACAAATCCTTACTATAAAATGCCTTCTAACTTTTATTCTAATAGTATTGAAGAATTCCTTGCGTACATTATTCAAACAATTCGGAAACGTACTCGACGTAATCGCACACCAAAATATTCGCATGCGGGGACAGGCATTTGTCGCGTTCCCTGATGAGGAAAGCGCTGAAAAGGCCATCAAAGAATTACAGCATTTCGTTCTCTATGATAAACCTATGGTGCTTCAATTTGCACGTAATAAATCCGATGTTCATGCCAAGACCGATGGCGATTTTGAAGAGCATCGCAAACAGCGTTTAGCAAAGAAAGGTAAAAAAAATATATATATACTCAGATCCAGCCAATCCGTGTTATACCAACCCATCTTTCTTTCTTTTTTTTCTTTTTTTTGTAAATGTAGAGGAAACTGCTAAATTACCTCTTCCTGGTTCTCACAAGCCCACCTTCAAAGCAAGCAGACCTCAAACACGTAAACATACTTGTCTTTCTATATACCTAAAAACGCAAATCACTTACATGTACAAATAGACACACCTGCTCACTTTAATCCTACAGCCAACATCCCTGATGAATATTTACCTCCCAACAACATTTTGTTCTTGCAGAGATTACCCGAAACTGTGACTCAACAACAGTTGGTCGAACTCTTCCAACGTTATCCTGGTTTCAGAGAGGTGCGTATGATTCCCACCAAGAAATCTATTGCATTTGTTGAATACGATAATGAGCTTCAATCCGCTGTGGCACGAAGTGAATTATCTGGACATTCATTCGGTCCTGACCAAGAAATGAAGGTCACCTTTGCAAGAAAATAAAAATTATCATGATCCCCCCCCCCCCTTCCCTTCAACCGTTATTTCTAGGAACATTAGCACATCGTTCTTATTCAAAAATAAAAAACTCTTTGTGTATAATAATAGAAAAAAAAAAAAAAAAAAAAACTGTTTTTTATTCTACAAATCCCATACAATTTCAGTCACATACATAGAAACAGTTTGCCGAGATTCTCCTAACGCATCTAAATCATCCACATGAATCTTTAATTGACCTGGCATACTTTCACGAGGATTCGATATAGAGACAGAAAGTGTTAATGTACCTCCAGGTTCCACTGTGCCCGTATTATCTTCATCCAATGGGGAAATCATTACAATCTCATGCGCAGGAAATTCCGCAGGTCCTTCCACCGTCACCTTAAATCGAAGTGGTACCTTGATCGCATGATTGATAATTGTCAACTGTCTACTTTCTGGCATATAGGCTGAATCCATCACATCCGTTCCATTATTATCACTATTATCTTGATAATAAGTGACCAACTTAAAATCAAGACGTCGTTCACTCAATGCAAACGTAGGCGTTTCATCAAGTACACATCGTACCGCAATCGTTTCTCTTACACACGTTCGTTCATCGTCTTCTTCTTCCAACGGCGACGTAGTTACCCAAAGTTTAGCCATAATAATACCAGAAGGGTCGGTAAATTCAGATCGATTTCTAGGTAATCGGGATGCTTCGTTGGGTGAAGCTCGGACACGTACTTCGATACTACCCTGAGGCCCGATCGCAATATCCCCCTTCAACGGCGAGTTTGTGTATCGACTCAACACATCCAAATTCACATACGGCTCCAATTCAGGTGTAATATCCGCTCCAATCTCAAATCGAAGATCATCGTCTGTTCGATTATGAATCACAAACCAGTTATCGCATGGTGCGTTCTGTAACGCAATCGGATGATGTAATGTGGGCAACACCAATTCTCCATTACTAGACAGCCTTTCAAATCTTAATTCAAATACCGTCATCAACGCCTTCAAATGTAATTGCATCGTATTCGAATGATTACGTAAGTTATCAATACGAATGTTAAATCGATGTAAACCAGACGTTTGATCGGGCATCTTTGTTGGGTTCAGTAAACCTTCAATACTTTGTGTCTTTCGAGATGGAATATAAAACAACTTTTGTTTCACTGCGGTACCATTACGATCCAACGGTGTGAAATCAATGAAATCAGGTGCATGAATTTCGTATGTGGCGGGTACATCGGCCAAATTACGGATCTGGAATTCGAAACGTACAGGTTTATACGACGTACTATGTCCCATCTTACCAAGATCAATACGGTCCACTACCAATTCAGTACGAGATACACAAAACAAGGCTTCCAATTCAATCGCCAATACTTCAATGCTTTGTCGCGCATCATACAGTACCATCATACCCTTGAGAGATCCACTACGGCCTTGGAGAGCTAACGATCGACCCTCTTCATCCAGTTTCTCGGCTGAGGGACTATGTAATCGAACACGAATACGTTGACCTGGTTGTAGGGCAAGTTGACCACTGCGTTGCGTGAAAAGTCCTTGTGTATGATCCACATTGATATTTTTAATCTTGTCTTCATCTACAGCAAATCCAGCGGTAATATCCACATCACTCATTGCCACTAATTGCATGGGTTGGCCGGACGTGTTGGAGACATCGATTTCACGAACATAGAGACGTGTAGCATCTTGCTCGGGTAATTCCATCAATTGTAACTCTGTTTCCTCTTCATCATGTTGAGGTGAAGGGCATATATAGATACTTTCCCACTTGATCATGGGTAAAGGATCTGCTTCACGATGATCGGTTTGATCATTCTCATCGTCTAGTTGATAATGATGAGCAGGAGGTGCACTACGAAGTAATTTCTTGGAAGGTAAAGCCCATGCATCCAATTTCTTACAATCCACAAATAATCGTACATCAATCACAAACACTTCTTGGCTATTCCTCTTGTTGGTCACAATAAGTTTTTCATTTAATAGTCCATAGCGATAGGCGTTAATACGGAACGTGATTTGAGTGAGGGAGGCTGTCACCACTGAAGCTAAATCTTCATAGGATCCGCGACGATCATTATATCCGCTGAGAGAACCATTGACACTACCATTGATAGAATCTGCCATGCTATTCTTGCGTCGTTTATTATCACCGGAATAGCTAATATCGGAATCCCTACGTGATTTCGTACCACGCCAACCATTCAAGGTACCTCCACGACGATCCAGCTCGATATTACCACTGGCACATTCCACCTCGTAATCCAAAGGTAATTCACCCGATTTATTCTTGATTGTAAAGGCACCATAGAATTCTTTTTGAAGTAAGTCAGTGTAGCCTAGATTAATCACACGATCCGACACTTCCAAATGCGATTGTCCAATGATGGAGGTAAATTTAACTGTTTGGGTCAACATTAACAGCATCTCTTCCCCTTCTTGAATAAACTTCGATTCATCCTTTTCATACACCGAGAATTTGATACCACCCACAAGTTCACGACATTCATCAGCAGAGTTACCAAGATAACCCGTCAAAAGATTAGGTTGTACCGCTACCCACACAGTGGTCATACCACCTCGTTTCAAAGGCATGGTCTCTACCAATCCTCGCTCACCCGCTTCATCCATAAAGATCAACACCTGATGAGACAAATTACTTTGACAGGTAATAAATACATCTTGCCCAGACGTGTTTTCAACCAATAAAGGTGTCACTTGAGAATACTTGGTGCCAGGATCCACATAAGAGAAACCCAAATCTAACACACCATTATCTTCATCCACTAACGACGGGAAATCCAAGTATTGATTGCAATGGGCCAAGCATTGGATCGTAAAAGGTTGTAAAGACCCCGTACGCTTGTTCTTTAATGAAAACGTGTATTGATGTTTACCCGCTTCTGTAGGTAAGATACTGTAAGGTACCTTCTTTGTTTCGCCCGGTAATAAACATTTGGTTTCACCCAATCCATCAAAATCAAAAACACTAGGAGATTCAGATGTCACCAAATCAAACTCAACAGGCTGATCAGAGTTGTTGGTCACCTTGACATAAAATACCGCGCTCTGATTAATCTCAACACGTCCACCGTCAAAGAAATTTCGCTCAAGTTGTAATGCCTCTTCTTCAGGGACTGTCTCCTTTACAACGGGAATCTCTTGTTTGGGTGTAGCTTCCGTTGGATTTACTGTGGATTCAGTCACAGGCACTGTGGAGCTTGTAGGTGGTGATTTTGAGACTTGAGATGATTTGGGAATGGTAGCATCTATCACGGTCATGACAGCATCGGAAGTCACTGTGCCCGTATTTTCGCCTTCTGTTTCCTCAGATAAGGCTTCAATATAAGCGGATTCATCGGTATATACGTCAGCAGTATAAACGATACTCTTGCAAACATCCGTATTTTTATACTCGTGAACTAAAATACGTCCCTTTACAGGAATAGCACATGTTCCATCTTGATTTGCAATAGGTTCGTCAATGACGTTCTGGAAAGGTCTTAACATAGGTTTAAAAGTAACGCAGACAGTTCGAGAAGCATGAGGGTCCAAAGGAAATACAACACTTTCGGCCGTCTTTTTAAAAACTATATTGTTTTCTTTGATTCCTGAAGAAATGGGTATGGGTGTTGCTACCGCTATTGCTGATGCTGCTGCTAATGACGATGCTGTTCCTGCTGCTGTTGTTGTTGTTGTAGTGACTTCTGTGGAGGTTGTTGGTGCACCTGTAGAAGATGAAGGTAAAGTATCCGCCGCTGTCTTCGTCTCAGTCTTTGACTTTTTTTTCGCCTTATCTTTTTTACCCGAATCCGAATCAGAACCATCCGTTTCATTTTCAATGTTTTTGAGTTTAGCCAATTTACGAATATACTTTTTGACCTTGTCGGGTTGAGCTTTACGTTTTGCAATCTTTAGCTTTTGTTCCAGATTTTCGATTTCTTCCTCGGCTTCTTTGGAGATGGTATTGGTATCATCTTCCTTTACCTCGAATTCAAATTCTGCATAGTAACGACCAAAGATGACTTCGTTAGGATCGACCCGGACTTCAAACATACGAGATTGTTTATTCGTGTTTGTCAATATAATGGTTTCCACACGCGTACAGGATTGATCCACCAGACAGTTTCCAAAGCAAATCTCCAAAGATTTGATCAAAAAGGTCGATGGTTTACGCACTTGTGCCTTGAGCAATAATACCTGATCATTGGTACGATCCCGGATATTCTCGATAATCAATTTCTCCATAAACGGACCAGATAAAGTAGGCTCAAACACAAAATCAACTTCACGCTTACCATACGATCGCACCACACCGTAACGTCCTACATCCAAATCAATATCACCAGAGGCGATGGACCCTGATTTTCGGATAGCGTAAAGAAGCGGAGTTTCACTACGATTATGCAATATAATGGTTTTTGCATGACGTTCATTTCGCTCCACCAACCCAAAATTAATATTTTTCTGTCCCAAATCCATCACCGAGCGACACAACTGGGAACGCAAAATTATTTCACGCACGGGTATATCCGTTTGACTAAGATCCAACAAATTTTCAAATTCGGTCTGTTCAATATCTCGATCAAATTGAATCAATCTTAAAAAGATACGGGCGTCTTGTTTTTTCGGCGCGGATTGGATATGTGGTTTGGTAGAACCACATGGCGTGATCACAATCACGACTTCTTCTTCTCCTTTGGGATCTACATCCACAATCGAGGTTCGTACAAGCACTCCCTTTTCCACCAATCGATCCAATTCACGACGCCAAGCTAATTGATAACGTACAAATTGCTCTTCGGCAGATTGTTTGGGAAATAATGGAGGTGCCGCCTTCGACCCATGCTCAAGCACCGAAATCAGATCTTCAAATGGAACACGCGTCTTACCCGCAATATCCGACCAATCCAGATTTTTACGAGATTTGTATCGCGCTGCTGTAATACCTAAAGATCTCTTGGTTTTGGCACTACGTGTACCGTAGTTATTATGCCGGCTGTGATTATTTATGCGAGAGGTATCAACCCGTTTCTTGTAAGGTACATTTGTATTAATCGTAGGTGTAGAAATCTTTAAATGATGTCTACCTCCAGTTGTTGTCGTCGTTGTCGTCGTTGATAGTGATGATGTTGTGCTAGTAGTACTATTTGTGGCGGTTGTGGTGTTCGATGACACGGATTTATCGCTAGCAGGCGGTGGACTGGAATTTGTTATATTATTTGTGTTGATCGTTGCAGAATTAGACCCTTCCGAATTCTGCACTTCCTTTTTATCCTTATTGTCTTTTTCTTCATGCGAAATTCGACCATGAGTCTTCTTGCGATGATTCTTTAAAAAGTTAGGATCTGAGTTTACTTGAATCATCTTTCGTCGGTATGATTTTAAGGATTGCAAAGGAGGTAATGCCAAATCCAAATAGGCGGTGGAAGAATGTGCTTGGTCCAACTTTAATTGTTGTAACGAACTTCGGAATCTTCGGGCAACAATCAAATCCTTTTTGGCATCAGAGGTTCTGCGCAAATTGGTGGCTTCCGATTCAGAGATCGGTTTGGCAGGATCAGTTATGTTAGTTGGTTTGGCTATACGACGATTACTGATAGACTCCAAAAGCATCTTAGAACGACGTCTTCCTACATGAGGCGGAGATAGATTTGCAGTGGATAGACTTGAAAGAGTGTCCCCCTTTTCAATGGCCTCTGCCGTAATCGAATTGGAAAGCTTAGATGTAGAAGCATGAGCGGAGGTGAGGGCTGAATAAGCAGCTAAGGCTGTGGTCGGGTTCATGGAACCGGATGACGGCAATCCAGCCTCTATCACCTTTTTCTTATTCCTTGTATAGATGACAATATCTTCGGGTAATGAGGTGGTGATTTCCAATGACAAAGGTTTATCCCGGATATTCTCGACAGTAAAAGTACGTAACGAAGGTGAGTTTAAGGCGATGGACCCGAAATCCAAGAAATTCGCACCTGTTGCTGTCAAAATACGATAAAACAATGAATGGAAGGTGACTCTATTCTTATCAATATTTGTACTGTGTACTTCTATAATCTGGTCATTATCCTTATTCAAAAAGTTGACCAGCGTAATTTGCTTTCGATAGTCTGGGTTTACTTTTCGGGGATAAAGATCCAGTTTAAGTTCGACATAGCTTCTAGGCTGTATCGTGATTTCACCTCTTAAACAATTTAAGACTTTTGAGCTAAATTGTAATTCGACACGTGCCATGATATCTGAGCGATTAAAGATATTGATAGGTAGAGATTTTAATGTACCGACATCCGTATCACCAAAATTAATCACTTTAGGAATTGCCTCAACAAAAGAAGTGCAGGTTCTTGCTCTACATTGGATCACCTTTCTCTCCTTTGGCTCTTCAGTCCTGAACGAACCATACTCGAGGCAGATTCTAAAATTCCGACGAATTAACTGGCCAGCATTGAAGTCATTGATAGAGACATCTTTTTGAGGTTTATACGACACTTGAATGACTCGTTCGGTACCTGGTTTAAGCACAAAATCCTCAATGCGAGTATAACTTTCGGTAGTACTCAATGCGGCTGCTGGGGCATTGCTTAAAGATCCGCCATGGATACTTTCGGCTACAGAGCTTGTTTCTGTAAATGCATTTCCATCCACACTTAACAAGCCTAACCCGATTTCTGAATCTGAATCTTCAGGAATTGTAGGTTGAGATGTAAATTGATTACGAGATACAGTAGGTGAATCTGCTAAAAGTGGAGAAAAGAAACTGTCGATATCACCAATACGTGGTGTAGGAGACGTTGATCTTGAACTAAGTTCGCTGTTTGGACCAGATACTTCACTAAATCCAGTTAAAGTGGTTGCAGGTGTGTTAAAGCCATTCGTACGACTCGCGCTATTATTGCTGAATTTGCGTCGCATGGGATTCAAGCGGGTATCCACACGTTCAGCTAGTTCGACGACGGAAGTATCTTGTTTGATATCAAATATCAGTTCCGCACCTTCCGGTAAAAACCGAATTTCGACAGAGGCTTCGCTCACATTATTTAGAACAATTTGTTGTACAGTCCAAGCACCTGAAATACAATCGCCAAAATCAACCACGTTACCACTGCTGACGATCAGGGTTTCTTTTCTTAAAACAGATCGAACTGTTGCATGCACTTTTGTTTGTACGACGTTACGAGCGTCATTTGCGTTTTCAACTTGTAAATCATAATTAAATTCGCCTACTTCTTTGGGCATAAACAGCATACGGACTTGCTTGCTTGAATAGCTGGATATAGGAAGATCGATGTCTAACGCATCGCCTGTATCTGCATCAATAAATTGCAAAGCATCCATACCGGTGGAAAGATCCATTGTATTCAATAACCAGTAAAGATCTATTTCGGACCTATTCTGTATAACAAAATCCTTGTAATAAGTTTCGCCCAGCACACAATCATCAAAATTCAGTCCCGTTTCTGCAACATCCGTCCATAATGCAGATTGGCATACACTAGCTCTGAATTTTATAGAGACTTGGTAATCTGCTAGACTTGAAGTGGATAAAACATCTCGATTCCCTTCATCCATCGAGTTGTTATTAGATATAGATGCACTATTCGCCTTGTAATATCCAAAGAAAAATAGACTACCGGTAACATTGAACATACTAAAGGTTTCAGTATCATCTGCAACCGTAATATCAAAATCTTCTTCATTTTTTTCAGTATCATCGGGGTGGGCTGTTTCTGGTAAAAAGGCCAGTATAAATGAACGACATTGACCAGGATTCAATTCGATTTGGTCGATATGATTAATGTAATTAAATAACTGATTAAATGGATATTCGTCAGCTTGACGGGACCAGCTCACCGTATTTGTCGTAATAGCATTTTCAAGGCTCGATTCCGGAAGGTTGGAGATATTTTCATTCTCCAGTTGAAAGGCAATCTGATTTCTTAAATTCGAGCGCATTTTTACAAGTATAGATTGATCGGATAAATTACGAATGTCTAAACGTCTAAGCGCATGTAACCCATTTAGATACACATTGTCCAACGTGATTCGTCCATGAAGTCCAGACAGTTCAAACATAGGTGACGCTGTTACTTTTTCAGTGGCTGTTAAAGGTGTGGAAAGTTCATGGGTTGAAACATTGTTCATTATATCTTTTGCTGAATGTTGCTAATGAATTTTGGTATTGATTGTATGCAGCACTGTTTCTTAGTGCAAAGAAATGTGACACTTGAGGGAATGAATAATTAGTCGTGCAAAGAAATATCTAGAATAAGTTTTTATATGTACCTACAAGGTGAATAGTGTTTTAAAATAGGCTTCACACTATACAAAAAAAAGGGTAATGGGCTTTCCTCTATTGCCCTTTTTTTAAACCAACTTTTTTTTTTTTGCAAGCTAAGGAAGATGATTGGGCGGCGTGACATCTCTTGCCGTTTTATTGGTAGACTTCCTCCAATAAAATCTATAATTAAATTCGGGCTGTCAATGTAAAGGAATATCTGTCTGATTTCCCATCAGATTTTATATATAGCATGAAAAATCTAGGTAGTAATAAGTATAGTATTTCCACTTGAGATTGAGCCACTCTAATCTTTTTGGACTAATCAGAATTAATTTCTAGATGTCTAGCTTACCTTTTTCAAACGGATTATAAACATTTATTTTTAGGCATATTTGCCTGCAAAAATCTAAATTCCAGAAGGATTGTTACAACGATTAAAACCATGATTGAGATGATTCATGTGGGTTTGGTTGTGGTAGGGCGTTGGTAAATATATAAACGATCATAACTATTTCAATGGTACGATGCTATGAGTGTCATATTCTTTGCGGTGTTGATGTATCTTTGCATCCAAGAACACAATGGCGTCGGACACCTTCTACCTTGCTAGGTGAATCATCTTAACACCGAAAGAAAACTTTTGATGTTTTGAATTCATCGTTCTCGACAGCTAATAAGTCGCCATCTTTCTCGCTTCTTTTGATGGCTATCTACACAACTCCAGTGACTCTAGTTCTGAGACCTTTCAGCTTGACAAAATCTTTGTTGAACATACCATGACCAAAACTATTAATATGATCTTAGTGCCATCTTGATGAAGTTTGGCGGGTTTCCATTCTGGCCGAAATTATAATGTACATACATTTCCTTAACTGAAAAGTAAATAGTTCATCATGTATAAACTTACATGGCTAATGTCTGTCGGACATTTGACGTTTTCCCCGTTGCCTTCTTTTTTCTCTGCCGTCTGTCGTACTTCTCACTTCCGGTTACTAACATGTTTACCATTATCTGTAGTAACTTTTGATGGCCTTTATACGAATGAAAGAGATCCTTGGTTCCTGAAAACCATAAAACATAAAAGAACGCCTTTTTTATTTAGAGCATGAATGGTACAATAGCTGTATGTAGTAGAAATAGGGGTTTTTGTTGTTGGTGTACTTGACTCAAGTGTTAACATTCCAACTTCATCTTTCATCCTTTGGAACTTCTTTTGATACATATTTGAGCCTGTCAAATGAAAGTATTCTGCCGTACTACACTTTCTAACTTTATCATTGCTCAAACCAACTACAGCAGTGAACATGGAATTCCTTCCTGGATTAATAAAAGTTGGACTATATAAAGCCTCAACTTCTAGATACTGGAAATCTTGTAATGTCAAGTCATGAGTCTTAATAACATGCTTTTGATTTCTTTTAATAAACACCAAATCGACTTCAAATCCATCTGATCTTATTTAAAGCTATTAAATGAAATTTCGTTTTCACTGTTTGCTGTGTCCATATACACATTAACTCAAAAACATCTGAAAAACCATTAAAATTTAGTGAACTTTAAAAATTACAAAAAAAATCAGAATGTTAAGTTGTGTTTAAAGTGTATTCAGATAATTTAACACTGATATAGGACTGAAAATAAAACCAATTTAACGACCTTTAAAAAAATGTTGATCGGAGAGGATTGCTTGTGATTATTTCTGTAACTGAATCCATAACCTCAAACGCATGTTTCAATTGCTCCAATAGCAATACTGAAAAGACTCGCATTAATGGTCTTCCTTTGTTAAGCGTACTATAGTGCTTAAATCACCCTTATAATACCTATGCCAAAATGACGCTAAGGCTTTAAAAAATATTGGTCATATCTCAAAGAGCCTGGTTACAACAAATGAAATCCCTATAATGTTTCGAAGATAATAACAAGAATATTAAAAATTTGTTGACGTTGACATTTGAAGTTAGCTCTGTGAAAACTGCTTTCCTTTTTGTAAAAATTCTCTTTAGGTGTGTAATAATCATTCACTGAATCCAACTTATGGCCGTTATCTTTTTTGTTTTTTTGTTTGATACGAAACTAATTTTTTTACATTGGGTTTATTTTACAGTTCGTCATGAAGTACAGACAGATCATTAAGAAAAAAAAGTCCCTCAGTTGATTACAAACTGCTTTTCAAAGGGCATGTTCTTAAATAATCGCTTTGTAAGCTTATCATACACATACAAACAAACTTGAACTACTATAACAGCTGTATTCTATTTTGGTTTTTTTTTGTAAACAAGTGTACAGAATGCGTGGGATTACAATAGAACAATATGGAAGAACCGTGAGAAATATTTAGCTGAGTATTGGCAAAAACTATTAATAGAGTTAGTATTTCTGTCTAGATAACCCAACCGTAATAGAACTTACATTGCCCACTATCACACTGGGTAAATCAAAAATGTCCCTTTTGATTGTAAAACAAAAAGTGCAGGGTACCACCCTTTTGGTGGGGCTCATAAGTATACATGAGCTATATACGGCAGAATCTGTGTTATCAAAGGCATGCAATGCATATTTTTCCCAATATTCAACGGCAGAAGGATCGCTCATCAGCTATAAATCGTATGAGGGTTAGTTGAGGATGGTTTTATGTTAACTGCAACTTACTTCGTAGATGTAGGTTTTTTTCCCTAATATTGCATCACGAGACCATTGAGTCAATAGAGAAAATTCTTTTCCGACGAGAGCAATCTCGCCTGTTCTGCGCCATACAACGGTTGGGGTTCCAGAATAGGTTATTAATTTTTCGTATTCCTGATAAAAGTAAGAAATAAAAGAATAGGCTTAGCATTCTTGTCACTCATGTATAGTTATAATCATACCAATAGGGTCCTTTGTAAACACTTTTCCGTGAAAATCAAATCGTCCTCTGTTAAATTCATCATGGAAGCTAATACGGAGGGTCGAAATAATGCAAGTGCTTTACTTATTCTCATTAATTCGTCTCTCCCCATTCTACATTTAGTTAGTACCCTCATTTCGAAAAATTATAATATCGCTTACTTTTGTCTCACGTAATTGATAAGATAATGGTATCCATCAGCATAGCTGAATGGTTTTGATGCATTTGCGTAACCGATACTGATACTACTATGACGATGTTGTTGTTTCTTTATTGTGCAAGGTGGGGTCAAAATGATATTCGATTTTGGACTTTGATCTATTTTGGGGATAGAGTCAAGAGTTTGATGATCTTGTTGTTGTTGTTGTTGAAAGGTGGGAGAGAATAAAACGGGGTCGCCCATATTCGATATTGTGGTGGTGGGAGTGTAACTCGTGCTAGTGGTAGGTGTAGATTGAGTAGTCAGCAGGGTATCGTTATTATTGCTTTTTGACCATATGTTAGTATTGGAAGACGTTGGAGAGCTTGAATCCAAAAACTGAGGTGAACCCAGCATATTCGATAGAATTGAATATTCTAAATTTGCTGAATTTGATCCAAATCCATAATTATTACCATCTAGACCAAGAAGTTGTGATGTGTCGATAAGGTTTGCTGAGTAGCAAATAAGCGATTAGCTATCAAATAAATGAAAATATGAAAAGGGTACGGTACCTCCAGTTAAGAAATTTTGTTGAGTATTAAGTAATGTATTATTTTGTTGGATCTGATTAGTCTGTGAATTATAGCGAGAGTCGGTTGAAGTGCAACTGATGTTATCTAATTTATACATTTAATAAGATTTTATTATTTAAAATAGTAACTTACCTTCTGCATCTTGAAGATATTTAGCCTTTTTCCTTGCTCCGTCAGTACAAGTACCGGCTAAATCCCTTTTTATACATCTTTGACAAGGGCGAGCTATAACATGGTAATAAATAATTAGTAATTTAATATGACTCATTTAAACTTCTTGAGTTTACAGTCATCGCACGTTAAATGTGCCTATGTCGAATTAAATAATACAACTTGATTTAGAATATTTTATTTCACTTTTGCATATATTTTAAAAACCTTTTGACAATGAACACATGCTCTAGCCGCTTTCTTTTTTCTATGTGCTACTTTTTGTTGTGTGGTGGAACTTGGTGACATTAGAATTGTTTCGTTTAATGTTAAATGTTTTGTAGTTGTTATCGTCGCCATAAATTCACTCCAGAAAATATATCTTAGACAAAAGAAAGGCGCTGGAAATAAAAAAGGAAAACCTCGTTCAATTTCAACTTAAATCTTGGCCCAATCAAATTTGTGATTACACTAACAAAATGTATTCGGATAATCGCTTAACCTAATTTTTTTGTGACTTACCCCACACTTTTTGTTCTTGCGAACACATCTTGTCCTTCTAAACAATACCAGATTATAACGTATCAGGTTAAACTTGTTTTTCTTTATGAATTAGAATAAATATCTCCGATTAAGATTTAAATTGCGTTACAGGGAATGTATAAAGGTGATTGACAAAACAAAGGTGGAAATTTCAATAATTTTTTTTATGTAGTTGAAAAAAATCTATGTAACACTTTGCATTTGCTTATAAGATCTTTTACATAGTTCTGCGCTTAATTGATTAGATTAGCAACAGTTGATCTAGTCGATTGATTTCATTTTTTTTTTTTTTTTTTTTTTTTTTTTGCTGATTAAAAAACAAATCATGATAAAATATACTTACAGTGATCGCTCAGAATATGATGACATTTATCGGATGGAAATATGATTCTCCTTAAGCCCTGAGTAACATTGCTTTGAAAACTTTCGAAAAATGTAGCTCCTATAATAACGAGTGAAAACAAGATATTTTCTGATACATCAACGAGCATATATGCTATTAATGATTTAAAAATTGTGGTATAGTTTTAACTTTTTTTAGCTAACACAAAAGCTGTATTTCTCCATATCTCAACAAAATAAAAAAGATTTTGTGTCATTTGATCACAGAACGACAGAAAAGGAGATGTTTTAAAGCGGTATTTTTCACCTAAAACTAATAATATGTGTATGTTAAGGAATACTATTTAAGATGATAAATTTAATTTATCAGGTAATGTGTAGGCAGTTACACTGCTGGCTGAGATTACATCTTTTCTATATGCAAAACAGTTTCATACTTAAATACGTTGAAAGCATTTTCTATATCATTGTGTTCGTTTGAATCTAAAAATTCGATGAAAAAAACGGTGTCGATACCGACAGAGTATATCGACGTAAAATAGACAAAAATGATCATAACAGTATTCTCATTATTTATGTCAACCTGGATGTCTACCATTCAAATTATTTAAACACTACATTTTTTTCTGGCATTCATTGCACACGATATTATTACCGTTGGTGAATGTTGTAATGTGATATAAATGTATTTTATAAAACTGCCCAACCTGAAAAAAAAATATCTGAAAATGTTGAGGACTGGTAATGGCTTGTCTATAATTCAATTACTGACTACATACTGGCGGTTTTGAGCGACGTCAGTCTCTCTCGCTACAGCAAGTAAGTAAGGGCCAATAACGTATTATTCAACAAGTGCAGCTTGTGAACGGAGCAGACTATCTCCAATATGCTTATTGCTTGCGTAAGTACTACTATCAAAATTTTAGAAATTTTAGAAACTACGTAGCCTTTCTTGCCATAACATTTTTTCAAAGGAGGATTCAGCACTTTCGCGGCATGGCATTTGTGGCCTTCATGGCAAGATTGGTTTTTTTTTTTTTTTACTAAGGGAAGAACCTTATGACTCCCATACAACTCGTCTAAAAATTACTTAGCTTCCTGTCGGTACTGTTGTAAACTATCTGGTATGAAGTTTAAAAATGTGTATAAACGCAAAAAATTGTTATACATAAATAAACCATTCAAATTTTTTATCTATTTTATTATTATAAACTCTTACTACATCTTGCTTATCAAATCTTATATATTTCATATAATTGGCTAATTATCTGTCTGCCTATCCTAGAAAATCGAAGCCTAGTCTTTTCACTGTGACTTTATATCAAGTATTTTTATCTTATATATCTTTACTGGTTCGTTACCATATGAAAATGTCAAGTATGCATATGAAGCTACGTGGTAATCACTTAAGAGCTGTATAACAAAACATTATTTATATTCTTACTCTATCTAACTCAAGCATCGAAACAATACAATCACCACCAGATTATCTCAGTCGTTTTGAGAAATGGTTATATCTAATCTAGTTAAACAAAGCTTTGTCTAAAGTTATATCTATGTCGGGTCTGATCCTATAATAAGTGATATAATGGAGAAGTATAGTAATAGATAAAAGATGATCTTTATTGTTTCGTACAGTGTTTACACTTCAAATTCAAACAACATCAGTTTTTTTTCAGACGAATCAAAATTCACTTTCAAACATTCGCTTACCTTTTTCAGACGATATAAAAATGAAATTCAGATTTAGTGTTAGACTTTCTTTTTTTTTTTTTTTTCTACCTGAAGGCATCTTTAAGCCATCACCGGTGAGGGCGTGGCAACCACATTGGAGGTGGCTCTTTGTCTTTTAAAGAAATCGTTTCGGCCATCGCCTCTCCAAATTGAGGTGGCAATGGTGTACATGTTTTTCGTAGTCATAACGTCACGATTTCAACAAATGTTGCATTATTTGCAGAAGAATATTTGATGGATTGATCGGTTATCCGTTCCACTTTTATGCTTTAAGTTTTTTAGACTGCTTTCTAGGCAGTTATTACAGTTCTAAGAAAGAAATGGCATTGTTTTAGTAATTACATGTTATAGACGCGTATATCTTTCACTTTTGATGTTTTATATTCATCTATGTCAAGTAGCAATAATTCTCCAAGTTTTTCTCGTAGCTTTAAATGTCTGTATATCATTTCAGAGACGCCATGCCTATACCCACTGATCTTTACGTGACTTTTATTCGTCCGACCGTCCCCAAAAAATTATTAATGGTATTTTACTTTTGTCACCCTCCTCAAATTTGTTTTTGTGATTCCTTTTTTTATAAAATAGAAAAAAAAAATAAGAAGAGGAACAACATCCATGGATATATGAGTAATACTTGGATGCGCTTTTTCTTTGTCTTGGGTTGGCTTGAGGGGTATTGCTTTACAGCTGTCTTGCTTCTTTTTCTCTTGTTTTTTTTTTTTTTGTTTTCTTCCGTCGTCCTTAATTGTACTTCTTTGATTCGTTAATTAGGATATTTACAGCATCCTGGAGGGCACGCTGTTTTCCGATGTAGTTACACCATTTGACTCTTGCTGTCTGAAAATTGTAAAAATTAAATAGCGTGCCCTGATGTTGCATCATGTATTTCACATGCGTAATATATTTATCTGCACCTGCTGACTTTACAGAAGGTATATTTGTCTCGATTGTTTGCACACCTTGTTCTTTTTTTCTGTCTTGCTCCAACTTCAGCCGATTGGTACTTATATTCATGTTGTCATATGCAGATGATAGCCGCCTAGCATCTGTGTTACCATAAAATGACACAAAAGCATCTTTCCTGTTGGGATCTACTGTGCAAGGTCTAAAATAACGATCTATTTCTTCACTATTGAAATCTTGCAGCTCCAAAGCAATTTCATTCACGGGAGATTCTGCGTATCTCTTTCGGCAAAAAGAAATCCTACAAGTGTTCCCATCTGTGTACAGGCTATTAATAAACATCTTTCCTTTTCGTCGAGGTAAATCTTTTAATTTTTTCAAAGCTAAGCAGGTTGAAAATTAGTAGGTTTATTTGTTGCTAAAAATGTATGTACCTTTGTAATTAAATGTTTAATTTAGCAAAATTAAAACGGGCAGAAAAAAATCTTTGGGTGTATTTAAAAACCATTTCTTCCTCTAACCGTTCCATTGAAGCTGTCGGAAACACACCAGTCAAATCTTGGCTATCTAGTTTAACAAAACACCAAAGCGAGCCAGGGTTCGGGAATAGACTGAAGAGACGAGGCGGCTGGAAATCTCTTTTTACGCCGTTGTTGTCGTTGTTGTTTTTTAGTACTTTCTTCTTTTCTCTTGGTCTTTTATTTGTTTGATCAGTCTCGTCTGACTGTTCTTGTGGGATGATTTGCAATTGAGAGACAGGAACAGGTAGCGGTGCTTCCACAATTAAGAATTCATATTTCTCCAGAATGTGCTTAAGAACTGACATAATGCTGAATGGAGCATTATTTAGAGTTGCCTTTGTTACAGTAAATGCTGGTAAACGATTTTTTATCTCCAATATTAATGGGTTCAAAAACGCACAAATGTTTTATTGCTTTTCACTGTTCAAAGAAGTGGAAATATTGTCAGGATTGATGGCTCCTGGTCCTGGAGAAAATAGTAAATTGAGCACATGTTCGTATACTATATGTTTTACTACGGGCATTTTTATGTCTTTTTACGAAAATAATAACTGATGTCAAGTTTTTAATATATATTTAACAAGGTTTTACACTTACATGAAATGCTTGACGGATCATGTATATAAAATAGTTTGCAATAATATTTTCGAAGTTCTCTATGTAATAGTTGTTATAACAAGTAACTATAGACTCACAAGCGGATACAACCACTTGGCCGTAAAGAGTTAAATTACCTTTATCAACTGTCAAGTTGACGCCTTCAACACCGTTTAGCTCATCCCATACTTCGGCGAGATGGGGAGTAGGTGGATAATGTGATTGGAAATTTTGAACTGATAAATTTTGGTACACCACTCTACACACGCTATACCAAAAGTTTTGTTTCAATAGTCCATTAGGCAAACTTTTTGGGTGTTTTAAAATATAAAAGTTGACAAAAAGCTGAGCGTTGTAGGCAACTTTTTGCAAAAACATAGAAAGACTTTTGGTTTTTTCAACCGCTGTGTTATTCTCATTCTCATCTACTGAAGACATGAATGGCTTGAGAGGTATGGAGACAGTATATCTTTGATTTTGAGAACCCAGATTTTGTTGAATCAATTCTTTTACTGTCTAATTATAATTTAGGCACTCTCTGGACCTAGCAGATGCATGGCCATTTTAAACGCAGGACTTACATACTATATTCGATGTATTTGGGACAAAATTTCTAGCTCTTTTTGCCTTTTTCTCTTCCGGAGTATTTTTTCTTTTTACACCTTTGAGAAGATTTAGTTATTACAACACATTGAAGAAAGCTTTTATATTACCTTTCCTTCTTTTACTTGGTTTGTTGATGGTTTTACTAGCAGTTTCCTGTTATTGGCTTTCATATTTTTTCAACTTTTTTGTTAGTATAAAAGCTTCAATTTCTGGATACATTGGTATACGCATCCCGTTTTAGATATTAGAAAGAAAATAACATAATTGTTGTTTTAATCGACATCAGGCTCATACATATCTATTTGATGTGACCGCTGCACATTATTAATTTTTCAAAGTATTTGTACAAACCAAAGTTAATTATTTTTTATATCAGATTGTATCAGTATGTTATGAAGTGAGGCTATTAGTAGTAGGCTGGGTATTATAATTGTAGGCATGTAAATCACTTTAATCATTTATATA